CTAATTTAAATTGGTGAAAATTCTATAATCACCAGGAATATATATTGCTCGAAAAACAGCACATCGGCAACGTTGCATCTACGAGCAGCCAATGAGATGATCTTATGTGACTTATGTCATGTCATCCATAACGGATTTGGAGGTGTTGCTGTGAAGTGAAGTGATAGAGCTACTTTTGTGATTTTGAGTGTTAATCATTGGTATTTTTGTATTTAAAACTGCGGAAAGTGCGGTGGAGAACGTTAAAATGGTACGTCGATACGGTTGATATATTATTTGTAAGGATTCCAAGCACATTTCAATATTTCGGCGGTAAGAAATTTGACATCATTTTACTGTCATTGATTTTACTTTTGACATTGGCGTAGTTAGAGATATTTATGGTTATTTATTGTAAGTAAAACTTCTATTACATTCTGGAAACAATTCAGAAGAAGCTGAACACGCTGCCACTGGTAGTGGTAAAATCGACATGCGACAGTGTTGCCGTTTTATAGGGCTACCTCTCTCTTACCTATGTCATGGATTGGGCGATTTCTAAATGGCATGTTTGGTGTCTAGTTTTATTATTAGTCTGAGTAGAGATGGCCCTGAGAATATTCTCCGAAGAACTTTTAATGAGAACAGAGAATTTACCGAGAATATTCTTTAGCCCTAAATTCTCGAGAATTTATGTTTTTTTTTAGGTTCAAGAATTTATGAGAATATGCGGTAATTTTTGAAAATGTATGGAAAATTAGCTGTAATTTTTAAACTTATCACCTTGCACTTACTATTAACAGATTGCGCTAGGTTGCTAATGAGGTTAGTTTGAAATGGAGAACAGTGAGTCCGGGTAAATGGTAAAGCCGGTAAAATCCCCCGATTCCATAGGGGTTTTTGATTAGTAGATTAGATTTAATGCGCACTGGTGCTACTGAGTACTGAGTGTATTTCGAGCTCTCCCTCTCAGCCTGTTAAAGAAACAGATAGAAACACATTTTCTTTGCACTATTCCTACCAACCGAAAACGCCATAAGTTACTTCATTGTCCCCGCAATGTGCAGAGTGTGTGCGAAGAAATATTTAACTTATTTGAGGCCAGTTTATTCACCTTCTGATAAACTGTCAACTGTCAGGTATGGAATCTGATGGATAGAAACGCAATCTGTAATTCCATTGGTCGGCCAGTTATCCGTCGACTAATAGAATTAAAGAACGGTCAATTTATCTCGCAGATAGTTATCAGCAAGTTTATAAAAAGATGAATAAACGAGGCCTCAATATTAGTTTTGACTAGTTTTAATGGCCATTTGCACCGACCATTTTAAGGAAGGTTTAACGATAATCAACGTTTGTTTAAAGTGACATTTTTACATGCAAAAATGTCACTTTAAACGTTGATTATCAATAAACCTTCCTTAAAATGGTTGGTGCAAATGGCCATAAGGAAATTCCTTCGAAAATGAAAACTAGATTTTGATATGGGAATATTTCAGACAAAAACAGGACAAGAAATTTCAATGTAAATATTGTGATTTTGTGTACCAAAAAATGCAACTAGACAAATAAAATATATCTCAAAATGTTTAAAAGCACCAAATGATGTTAACAAGCTATATTCTTCAAAATTCTCCAATGTTCCCGAATATTCTCCGAGAAAATTCTCTCAAAATAAATTCTCGAGAATCTGCCATCTCTAAGTCTGATGATACACCAATGATATCCTAACACAGATAGACAACACATCTCATTCATAAACTGATGTTTGTTGTGAGGGCAAGACCTTCCATGGGCCAGGAGAGGTGAGCTGTTCGAGGGGGGTCATGGTAGGGATGCACCAGTGGTATAAAAAAGACCCCTCTGAATCCCGTCATTCACTTGACCTAAATAATGAATAAATGCGCACGAGTGCAACTCGTTTATCTATCTGTCTAACTTATGATGTGAGTTTGACGAGCGCGTTGACATGCCAATCGATTGCAGATGTGTTCCGCCTGTCTTACAGAACCGGCGTTGTCAGTAGCCGTGTTTAGTCTTGCACTTCCGACTTTTGGAAGTAAAGTCATAACAGGATAAAATATCAATCCGTAACAATTTGGCAACCAAATTGGAGGGGATACACCGGTGGCGGATTGCTCTCCTAGATGATGGCGACACAAAATTTTGTTTACTGTAATATCTATCTGTGTTAATATGTCATTGTATAAATATAATAAATTTAATCTCCGATTAAATTCAAAGTTGGTGTCAAATGATAGTTCATAGAAAGCTAAGATAAGAATGTAGAGATCGGTTTTCTTCTAAAGTTACCCATTTAGGTCTTACAGCCTGTCAAAGTTGCATATATTTATTATACTACGTATATCGCGGGTTGGTTTGAGTTCTTGAAGCAAACATTATGAGATAGAACGATGCCTTCCTTGTCTAAAGTGAACTTGTTTTTCCAATGCGCATGCGTCAATTTGAAGCTCCAATAAGATTTCATTTTAAACAGCTGATATTGCAGGGTTGCCAATTAAATTATTTTCATCTTCGAGTTATTTAAACATTCACAAGAAACATGACGAATTTTGTATTTTGGTGCGTGTAACACATACTCGATTTCGACAAATTAACCAATATATTCATTTTTATTAGTGTTTTGGAATCAAAATACAATCAACCAAATTATAACCTCAAAAAATGATCCTAATTCATTGTACTTTTTAGCTTGACAGGACAACGCGGCACGAAAAGCTTGATGCAAAATGGCAACCGCCGGCCAATAAGAATCTAGAGTTTAACGCAAGCGCAGTTCATAACCTCGTTCTCTTTCGTTTGACAAAGATAGACTTATGCGAGATCATATAACTTTATCTCTCTTTGTTTGCTTCAAAAACCGCACATTGGGTAAATGGAGAAGGCGCGATATTTTTTTTTTTTTTTTTTTTACGGATATGCGCACTCGCAAGGAAATGTCCTATCACGCTCGAGAAGCGGCAAGTGCGCGTTAGTATAATAGGTATATAGGTATATCACATGAAATCTCTTCAGAATTTCACGTAGAATCCAAATATGCAATCACATACAGGGTGTCCCATTTAAAATAAGCAAGTTGACGTCTACTTCCGGTATAACCGGAAGTGCCATCATCTTGAAAATATTTTAGCCGGTCTGCTCCCATTGACATTAGTATACTGTCAAATTTCCAAAAATTTTCTGCATACAGTTTTTCATATAATGTATAGATCGATTTGGCTCCCGGAGGGATACCCTGTATATGTGATAGACATTTCAGAGTCAAACAGGAAAATTTTGAGTCAAATTCACGAAAAATAAAAGCTGTTGTACCTCAGGGTAGCGTGCTAGTAATTTTTATTATTTACATGCGAAATCCGAAAACCAGAAAATGGTAATTTTACAACATTCGCCGACGTTACTGGTTGAATTAGAGTGGTTTAAAGTATTGAACAATCAACAAAAAAATTGCAGAACGCTGTCACTGAAGTTCAAATCACACACAAATCACAATTATTAACACTCCTATTCCCTATTCAAATTAAGAAAAATATCTAGGTATGACCAAACTCTTGACGCGAAATTGCGCTGGAAAGCACATGTTAAGAAAAAAAGGGTAGAGTTTGAATTATATACCGGGTGGTCCTCCGGGAATGACATCGATTGCTTATGGGAAAACTGTGAAAGGTAAAAATTTGAAAATTTGGCAACATAGCAATGTCGATGGGGGACATCCAGGTAAAATATTTTCAAGATGGCGGCATTTCCGGTCATACCGGAAGTTGATACCAACTCGGTTATTTTAAATAGAACACCCCATATATTAATGTATTTTTGGATTCTACATAAAATTCTGAGCAGATTTCATGTAATATACCCTATACCTAAGTTCAACTGTTTTGGAAATATTGACAGTTGAAAATTGACTTTTTGCAACTTTGACAAGCTGTAAAACCTAATTGGTTAATTTTAGAGGAAAACCGATTTCACATTCCTATCTTAGATTTTGATAAACTATCATTTGACACCAACTTTGAACTTAAACGGAGATTAAATTTAACTGAAATTTTTAATCATGGATTTAATTCAAAGTTGATGTCAAATGATAGTTTATAAAAATCTAAGATAGGAATGTGAAATCGGTTTTCCTCTAAAATTAACCAATTAGGTTTTACAGCTTGTCAAAGTTGCAAAAAGTCAATTTTCAACTGTCAATATTTCCAAAACAGTTGAACTTAGGTATAGGGTATATTACATGAAATCTGCTCAGAATTTTATGTAGAATCCAAAAATACATTAATATATGGGGTGTTCTATTTAAAATAACCGAGTTGGTATCAACTTCCGGTATGACCGGAAATGCCGCCATCTTGAAAATATTTTACCTAGATGTCCCCCATCGACATTGCTATGTTGCCAAATTTTCAAATTTTTACCTTTCACAGTTTTCCCATAAGCAATCGATGTCATTCCCGAAGGACCACCCTGTATAGTACATAGAAAAATGTACTGATTAATTGAAAGGATGTCCAATTTAACCATACATAACAAGTTACTGAAACCAGTATGGGCCTATGGTATTCAACTTTGGGGTTGTACTAAAGAGAGTAACATACAAGTTATACAAGTAGATACTAAGAAATATTGATAATGCACCTTGGTACGTGCGAAAAAGTGACCTACATCGGAACTTGAAAATTAATAATGTAACAGACTATACGAAAGTACGCAACAATCCTTGAAGATAGACTACCTCGGCATGTGAATGTGGAACCGATTGAGCTCCCTGACAACTCTGAGCTACTTCGAAGACTAGAGGGGTGAAGCCGTTTAAGCTGATTGTTTTCAGATTCAAAAGTGACATGGGAGCACCATGCCAAGTTAACCAATTTTATGTCAGAGCTCAGAGGAACTTAATAACTAAACTATGCTGCTTCTAGAAAAAAATAAGTAATAACTCCACTAAAACCATATTAAAACTTTCGCTATGCCAAAAAATTTAATCGAGACTCATAAGTTACCTTGATCGCATCATATAATGAAGCATCCGGACCAATATTGATGAGAGGCCTCGCATCTTTGAGCACCCTGCGCCACGTGTCCAATTTGTGCTCTTCCAATTCGTCCATTGCGACGCTGGGCGACTTGTAGTACATCCTCAAAATTTTGATGAAATCGGTAATGGTGAGCATCCCTACGAATTCTTGTTTTTGGCTGTCCCACAACGGAGCTGCCCGGACACCTGAATTGATTTTAAAAATAAACATGAATATATTAATAATGCATTGAAAAAAGTTTGATGTTATTTTTTGCGGTTTACTCATACAATTGTCATTTTAAAGCGCTAAACATATTATTTATGATTTGTTATTATTGCATATTATTTAAATAACCTGTATACTTATGGGATCTAATAATAATTATTGTTGTACAAACGTTATGTCACTTAAAAAAAATTAACACACGATGTTTTTTTGTGGAATTTTACTCAAGGTCGATAATTTTTTGTGCAATTAGAAAACGCTTTATCAATACATAATATAAATAGAGGCGCGAGTTGTGGGTGGGTTACCTGTACCGTTAATGATTCTGTGATTACAAACTTGCTGTAATAGAATATTGAGTGATGGCCGGTGGATATATTATGTATACGCCACAAGTAGTTATATTGTAATATACCTATCCAGCATAAAGCATATTATTATTCCTGTTTGCCGAGCAAGAAATGAATGAAGCTTTACCTAGACCCACTTCCCTAAATAATGCCATGTCGTTCTAATACTTGGGAATCTAGGTCTATTAGGTTTTCATCCATTTTTCAATTAGTATACATGGTATATTACTGAGTATATTACATAGCGGACTGGAAATTGTTCCATTTCTGACAAGATTATAAAGGTACGTGAAACAATATCCATACTGTGGGACTAGAATATCGAATCGTCCAAAGCATGGTTACATATTAGGTTCGTTCCAACCCAGCCAAAAACCGTTCAATGTACGGTCACGGTCATGCGCCATAGGTTAAACGCGTTCCAACTGAGAGATGATCGTTTACCGTACAGTTTCGTTGGCGTTCCAACCAAACCTGGGATCGTTCGAGAACTGGTTTTAGCACCGTCATTTCCATCCCGAGTGGAAAGCAAGAACCGCGTGGACTGATCCATGACTGACATGCGTAATTCAATTTTTGTCACCTGTTGTTGTTGTTCATGTTGTTGTTAAACAACCAATTTCCAATCTAACTTATAAAACTGTAGCATTTTTATTTTTTCAAGTGAAAAAAAGTACAAAATTTATTATCAGCTATTTGCTAATCCTTGATGTTATCAGCTTGCAAGGATTCAGTTTCAGATTCTTCATAATGAATCAGCGTTGGTGTTCGATTCTCCTTTTTTATATATTATTTTGTAATCCTAATCCTATATTCTTCTATTTTAATTTGCAAACAAACAAATTTAGGACTAAAGTTATTTGAACTGTCGTCATTACGGAAACGATCATGAAACCGTTCCAACTACCCGTTGTTTCTGTACCAAGATAAAACCGTGCAAGGTCAACGCATGCGCCTGCAATCGATCCTAACAGTTCCGAAACCGTTTCATGACGATACGAAAACGGGGGGTTGGAACGAACCTATTGTTCACAGGTCTGGACACTGAAAAATGTAAAACAGAAACGCAAAATGTAGTTACCCAACTGAGATCCAACTCTTGGTGAAGAGCGGCAGGCAAATCGAAAATGAAAAGGACAACAAACCAAAGAATTAGGGAAAGTATGAACGTAAGACACAGTAGATGATATCAAGGCTTGAAGTAGGATGCCTGAATTGACAGAGATTGTTGGGGATCGGAAATTATCACACGCAGAACATCATAGACCGATAATTATATATACAATGTTCTTCGTAGATGGGGAAATGAGAGGCACTATGGAAAATCATGTGATACTATCTTGAAAATAAAAAAATGTTCAACATGACATATCGCAGCCATCAACATATAATTATTGCAACGTACTTTTAAGATTTGATTGCCATTATTTATTGAATTACAGCTTGAGTTTCTATACATATACATCCCCGGTTCCTTTAAATAAACTTCTCGAAAGATTTTGCCATTCATTCTCAGTAATGTTAGAGACTTTTTTCTTTATTAGTTCTACGGCGGCATCTTCATTAAACGTTGGGAATCTATGGCACCTCCTGATTTGACGTTTTAACTGGCCCCAAATCAATTTAATTGGTTGGAAGATGCGAAAATGTGAGGGTATAGCTTTAACAAAGTGTGTCCATAATTCTCAACCATATAAATTTTTTAGTACCTATGTTGGACAGGTGTTTCTTGATGAAGAATTTCTCGAAATAAAAGTGTTTCAGGTTACAAACTTCTTTTCGGTGTTATCTGCTGACAAAGTTCTAGTTTAATTTCGAAGTTTGAGAACTTGACTAGATAGAAAAGCCAAATAAATTATTCAAATTTCAAGATTTCTACCTTGTAAAACAATTCATGATAGGTAAAAAATTTGACTATGGAACGACTAACTTTTTCCCGCGTATTTAATCGGGCTTTCGATCTAGCCCAAAAAATTTATGGGTTTTTCAAAAAAATTTGCGAGGGCAGGCTGATTTTTTCAGGGCTGATTGGAGACTTTGTCCTCAGTATTGAGCCAAAAAAATCACACTCGAAAGCCTTGTGCGTTCGGCCCTATTGGCCTTTTTCTTATTTATTTTTTTTCGACAAAATGACCTTAATAAAATTTGTAGATAATAACATTCTGATCAACTTTGCCTTTTTTTGCTAGCTATTTTAGTTTAGGCGTTGCGGCCAGTTTAGTGCTCCAGAATTCGCAAAAAAATTAAATAGCAAACCTGCAGATTATTGTAACTTTAATAAAATTACTGGTAATGTACTCCATTACGTTTTCGGTTTCAGTCGAAGTAATGATACATTACATCATTAATCCGGTGAAATTATTTTCCTGGAGTGAAAGCGTGAAATCGAAATAAAAAAAATCAAGTGTGCATTTGCCAATATCTTTCGATCGGCAAAGTACCACTTTGCGCTCTTAATACACAAATAGCTATTGTGCAACCGTCCGCGAAATTCAATTTCGCGAAACGCCACATTTTACCTGCAAAATGTGTCAAATTCTTAAAAACGCTATCCATGCCACAATGTCCACCGGGTCCAATAAAATTTTTCAAATGCCTAAAAGGCCGTACAAGCGAAAGAAATAAAGTTACAATAAAATATCATCGAGTAAAGTAATAGAGAATTTTAATAGGTATAATAATCTGCAGGTTTGCTATTTAATTTTTTTGCGAATTCTGAAGCACTAAAATGGCCACAGCGTCTAAAGTAAAATAGCTAGCAAAAAAAATTATGAGGCAAAGTTGATCAGAATGTAATTATCTACAAGTTTTGTAAAGGTCATTTTGTCGAAAAAAAATAAATAAGAAAAGGCCGAACGCACTAAGGCTTTCGAGTGTGATTTTTTTGGCTTTCATTAGTACATTATGCATAATAGTTTAAAAAGAGACATATACATCTAGCCCTTGATAAGAAGAAAACTTAAACAAAAAAATTTAAGTAGAATAGTTGTTTTCGCATCTCTACCAAAGTTATCTCGGTCACGACCGCATCTTTTAACATCACTTAATCCACCAGGCAAACAATCTGTCAATTAGTGAAAAAATACACTCAGAATGTGTTTAAATTAATTATTTTCCAACACCTAGCCCAAGGTTGGTAATGTTTATATTGCCATACATTAGTCAAATTCAAAGCGTCAATATATTTAAGCTTATTAAACAGCATTAAGAGTCCTGCCAATATTTTTTTTAATGGCGCTGCTGCTTAAAATTTTTTGGCCCTCTATTCCATTTCTAAAGCATGAATCAGTTTTCGGATTCTGTTTGTAATAATATACCTGGGACTTATAATAATTTAATTATACTCACCATTATAAACTAAAGCAAAGAAGGCCTTCTTGACGAGCAATTGAGTATCGAAGACCACTAACTTGGCCGACGTGGGTATGAGATCGTAACACTTGTGAAACTTGAAGAACTTGACGAATATTTGAGATTCATCTTCTTCTGCAAAACAAAAAAAAAATATAATTTAAATTATGATATTGTTTTATAAAGGTAAATTCACATTGCTACAATGTTATAGTTTTACGATCCTTTTTATGTATATGGATTTTTTGTAACGATCTCAGCTGGGCCCACAGTGTAACCAGGGCAAACTGCGCAAAAATAAAATCCCTCTTTACTCTCGCCGTATAAGGCCTCAACTTCGTAGAGAGGCTTTTAATAGTTCGCGATATCGATTCGGATAGTTAATTGAAAAGCCCGGTTTTGCATAATACGAGACACGGTTTAGCATTATCAGATTTTGACCTGACTAGCCTTTAGGATGTTCTACCTTGAAATGTAAGTGATCTAAGTCAAATTTTCGTGATAAATTTTCTTCTTTTTCATTGGAGAACATCCTTTCAAGGCCTTTGACAATATTTCGACTTTTCTGTACCCTCTCACCTTTTTCCAACAATTCGCCCAACCACTCTTTGTAGGTCTGCGAGACCTGTTCGAACTCTTTGATCTGATCGATCCTATAGACCTCCTCTTCTTCGGCTATAGCCGGTAGCACTAGGCGGAAATGGTTCGAGTAGATGTGCAGCCGTAACATGAGCAAAATAAATGTGAACAACCAACATTGCGCGGTTCATTTACGATTGCACTCGCGAGTATACTTTCGGTTGAGTTTATCATAGTTTTTGTAGTCACTTATAATGTAACAATATTTTAGTTGATTTTGGATTGCTAAGGACCAAATACAAAATCAGTTAAAGATTGGTAATGTTAGTTATTAGAGCTCCAACAGACTGCTAATTACTCATGAGTTGTATTGCTCTGACACGAACAGATTTACGCAATACTTGGTGGTTTTGCTTTGTAAGACAATGGAGAAACCCGAATTCTCTTTCATTGGGTACTATCACTAATTGCAGACCGGTTTCGGACTTGTTATGTCCCCATCAGTGCAATATAAGCGGAAAGCACACCAACTAAGAGAAACTAGAGGTGAGTTGCGATTTCACGAACTGTGACTTTGTCACTGCTACTCGTCTGTCACAGTCACGGCCTGCTCCAGTCCCACTCAAGTAGCAGTGACATTTTGTCACGGCCACTTCGATCTCTAACCGATACAGCGCGGACTGAACTCAACTTAAAGTGATGCAAATAATGTAATATTATTACAAATCACATTGTGGTGACGCAAAACAGAAACTACTACTGCAGAGGGCAGACTGGAACATTTCTCTCGGCCGTGACTGTGAACTGGGCGAACTGCGATTATGAAATGTACCATTGTACCATGTAACAGTCAAGTCACTGCTATTTTGTTACCGTGACACGACTGAAGCAGTCACGTCTTGTCACAGTTCCAGTAAAATTGCAGGTTGGCTCACCTCTATTTAAAACCAACCCCGAGGTGACTCGATATTGAAAAATCGGCCCACAGGGACGAATAAATGTAGCAACCCCGGCACAAAAATTGCAGCAACCCTGACGCAAACGTCAAAAATTTTGATATGTCAAAGTCATAGTAGGCGTTGTAATTTTTGACAATTAATTCAAAATGGCGTTTGTTTGATTTTTGTTTTGAGAGCCCCTTTTTTTTGATTCGGAGCCCCGTTTCTTCTGCTAAATTTAGTGTTTTTCAAGTGCAAAGTAGCTCTAACACCCTCTGAGTAGGACAAGGAAAAAGATAAAATAGGATGTAATTCAAGTGCTCACTTTTTTTAAAAGAGGCAGAAAAACTTTATCTACCCCTAAGTTTAGTATTTAAAACTAGAAATTTTTGGATGAAAATGAAGAAAATTTGAAGCCTCGTACTAAAAATCGGGTTTCCCGATCAAAAAAGCACTGGAAAAGCGGAAAATTCAAAAAATATCCCGTAAAAATGACAATCCAGAGTCTACTTTATAAAACTTGAGTTTTTTGTTACCCCATTGGAAAACTGGAAATTTTTGGCAAAAAATGAAGAAAATTCAAAGTATCGTCTTATCAATCGGTTTTCCCAATTGAAAACGGCATGGAAAAGCGGAAAATTCGAGGAGAAACTGGATAAAAACATTCAAAAATGACCGACTGTCAAAAATGGGAAATAACATTGTGCGACGTTGCCACATCTCTAATAGGAAAAAATCACATTTTAAATAGTTTTTTGTTTAAATAATTAATTATTAATGTTTATGAAATGATAAATTCCGAAAATAATGCATTGGAATCTTATCTTTAATAGATTTCAAAAAAAATGACATTTTAAGGCCTGCTTAATAGTAAATAAGACAAAGAGAGAGATAAAGTAGGAAACAATTTAAGTCTAAAAATGGAAGTTTTTGGTGGAAAAGTGAAGCAAATTCAAAGCCCCTCCTTTAAAATCATCTTTTTCTAATTGAAAAATCCCTGTAAAAGTAGAAAATTCAATGGAAAACCAACATTCCAAAGCCTACTTGAAAAATCAAAGTTTTGGTCACTTACTCCATTGGAAAACTGAAAATTTTTGGTGGAAAATGGAGAAAACTCAGAACCTCGAACTTTACAACAGTTTTTCCGATTGAAAACGGCCTGGAAAAGCGGAAGATTCGAGGAAAAACTAGATAAAAATGTAAACTGGTCAATTGAAAATGGCACGACTGTCAAAAATGGCAAATGACATTTATTACAAGGTCTACTTGAAGTTGGCTACAAGCGGTGTTGCCACATCACAAAACTTCCAAAAAAAATCATTTAAAATGGGATTCTACTTGTAATTTAATAATTAAAAACCCGTTAAATAATTAATTAATAACGATTTTAAAATTAGAAATTCCTTGAATAAGGCTTCAGAAACTTGCTTTTCAATAATTTTTTCTCACTTACCTTTTGACCGTAAATTAATGGATCTAAAACTGGAAATTTCTAGCAGAAAATGGAGAAAACTCGAAGCCTCGTACTTTAAACCAGTTTTTTCGACTAAAAAAAACCCTGGAAAAGTGGAAAATTCGAGGAAAACCTGGATAAAAATGTAAACTTATGTAAATTTGATAGTGAGTAAGACAAAGAGAGAGATAAAGAAGGATACTATTTTAGTCTAAAAATGGAAATTTTTTCCTGAAAAATTGAAGCAAATTTAAAGCCCCGCACTCAAAACAGTTTTCCTTCGATTAAAGAAGCCTTGGAAAAGTGGAAAATTCAATGGAAAACCAACATTCTAAAGCCTACTTGATCAAACCAAGATTCTGGTCACTTACCTCGTTGGAAAACTGGAAATTTTTGTCAGAAAATCAAGGAAACTCAAAGCCTCGTACTTTAAACAAAAGTTTTTTTGATTGAAAAATCCTTGAAAAACCGGAAAATTCAAGGAAAAGCTGGATAAAAACACTCGGCTGTCAAAAGTGGCAAATGACATTACATTACAAGGCCTACTTGATCGAAAACAACGTTGCCACATTTACAATCCCAAATAGAATACTTTTCCTCTTTTTCCAACAAACAAATTTCATTTTAAATGGTAATTTGACTGTATTTTTAGCAAAAATAGTGAGACAAAGAAGTAGATAAGGTAGGATACGTCTGCAAAAACAACAAATGCGGTTATAAATGAGTGAAACAAAGAAGGAGAGGTGGGTTGCGATTCCACGAACTGTGACTTTGTCACTGCTTCACCGATGCAGATGCAGCGCGGACTAAACTCAAGTCAAAGTGATGCAAATAATGAAATATTATTGTAAATCGCATCGCGGTGACGCCAAACAGAAACTGCCACTGCAGAGGGGCAAACTGGAACATCTCTCTCCGTGACTGCGATTATGTAATGTAGCATTTATATGTATTATCAGCATGGTCAATCAAGGTTAAACTGTTCCAAAAATTCACTGCTATTTATCATCGTGACACGACTGGAGCAGTCACGTCATGTCACAGCTTCAGTAAAATCGCAGGTTGGCCCACCTCTAAGAGAAACAGGTTTGCAGGAGATTCAAACGCTAGGCAAGATGTCAAACTTTAATAGCGTGTGGCTCCCTCTCGTAGAAGTCAAATAAAGCAATACCGAGAACAGCCCGTTTGGGTGTAAAATAAAATCAGATTTTCGAAAATAAGTTTTCGAAAAATCGAAAAATACTTGACAGTGTATCGAATCCAAGTTATTAGAGGATTTTTTTTTTGGAAAACATAAGTGTTTCGCCGAAGCTCCAACACACTGGCTAATTACTCATACTATGAGTTGTATTGCCATACCATTTACCAAAGGCTGTTGGTTGGGGTCTTCTTGCGATATCTGCACTTTCAGTAGGAAGTGTAGGAGCCTATGGTTTGGCCAGAGAAAAATAAAAATAAAAAATCTTTAAATGAGCAAATCGAAGAAAGAGTTTAGAGAAATACAAAAAAAGGTAGGGAAGCATATAAATGTTTCAATGGTATTTCAAACAAGCCTCTCTAATATAATCCAATTCAAAATGAATAATGGAATAGCAACTGGCGTTAGCGTTCTCATCAAAGAACGGAATAGGAGCCTAGAGATAAATGGATACAGGATAATAAAGTGCTTTTCAGCAGAGGTAAAACAATGGCAAAACCATAGATATTTATCCTACTGTCAAGATGAGTAGCGCTGTATTTACGAATACAAACATAGTTTAAAGAATACGTGGGGATACGTAGAGAACTTGTTAAAAAAACACAACAGTGAAACCGGAATCGATATTACCAATAGACACAAAAGAGGATACTCTCATCCAAATCAATCAAAAACACATAAACTGATTCTTAGAATACTGGAACATTCCGGCGTACCTATTATTATTATGTGATTTATCATAGTACATAATACTAAAAATTCTTTTAAGGAATAAATCTGGGAAGCGCAAGAAAATTATGGAATTTTTAGCCATTAAGGCCGATATAAAGGGTGCATTCGGTGGTCGAAAAAGACAGCCATGAAGTACTGCTGGAAAGATTTAATTTTAGATACTTTACAAATAAGAATAAACCTACAAAGAATCTATATATTATCGCTCATATCTTGTTAAACGAGTCTAGGATCTATGAAGAATATAAATACGACAACCTAACTAGCAATTTGAGGTCTCCATCCATACTGTATACATACAAAACTCTATATTTGAGACACCAGCCCTGAGTGCTGCAATAGCAAATAATATCTAATGTACTAGGATTCTCTCATTTAATGGTTTTATGCAGCCTCATTTGCCCGGGAAATGCTAGCAACGGTCTACTTAGGAAAATTTACTGGATGCAAAACTGAGCAATAAAGATAAAAGACAATATTGCATGGGATATAAACAGGTCAACTGTAATTTAATCAACACTTTAGAACAAGCAGAACATCAAAACAAATTGACTGGAAACAAATATTAGACTCTCAAACAAAATAAAACTACGTCATCAGAGTGTTATATGGAAGAAAACAGACTTTGGAAAGAAATAAGCTAGCTAAAATACGACAAATGTTTGCATCACTAAAATTTGAAGAAAAAAAAAAGTAAAATGCAGGCCAAATTTCCCAATTAATTTGTGTTTACCGATTCCAAATATTTTTTTTAATCTAGTTTGCGTTCAATTTGTTTCGCGTTGGAGCTTCAAATTACGCCCACGCTGCAAATGGAAATTTGTAACTAGTTTGGAGTTTGGAGTGGCGATAGCATGCCATTTTATGAAAAGTTGTTTTGCAGCTCTTTTTTTTTTGGTGCTAGGAATTTGAATCAAATACATATAACCCATGGCAAAGTTTACTCGATGGTACAACGAACACCCACTTAATACAAAGTTACAAAGCATAGTTCTCACATCTGAATGGTTCCTTAGACAGTAATTTTCTAAAAAATTTTGAGATATTAGTGGCGGATGCAACGCATTTTTTGACACGTGACTTGGAATAAACTAATCATGTGACCAGTGTCATTATTTTGAACTAGATACTCGTTAGGGGTGGCTGATCCGACAAATTTTATGGATCAGTTCCGAACTAATCCGGTCCAAACAATTCCTGCCTCCTGGATCAGTTACAAGTTCGAGTCCGGTCGAGTCGAACCGATAACCGATGAACGATAGACCGAACCGAAATACTGGTTTTTCCTATTTTGGCGAAAACAACAATCTTGTTCCGTGAAGCCCGATTCTCGTCTTAGAGCCGTTTTACACGGCAAAGTTTCTTCACGAAATTACTCACGAAATTGTTGCCAAAATATTTCGTCAAGTCAACTTTTCCTGTCTTACACGACAAGAAAAACATACGAAATATTTCGCCAATAAACTTTAGAAAATGTTCTATAGTTTTTGTGGGCGCGGCCGAGAAAATGCGTGAGTTTCGGCGCACACAATTAGAAAATAAAAAGCGCGTTATTTTTCTTCGAGCCTTAAGAATCCGTCATTGGATTTCCTATGTAATAGATAAAAATAGACTGCTTATCGGTGGGTCAAGCGGTGAGAAGTTTTGCGCCCAAAAAAATAGGGTGGGATGGTAGAAGACCAGCTGGGCAAAGCCAAAAGTAAACAAAACTTTATTTATGGAAGGTAAACAGAAATTCAACTTTATGAAACTGCAGAAGAGTACAAGGATTCAACAAAAAATAGAAAACGCAAGTTTTATTTGTTTTGGTTTACCAACGTATGAGGTTATTATTTCATATTATTGATAGCAAAACGTTACTGCGCCGGCGTATGACTAATATTTTCACGGAACTTTTGCTAAATTTTATTTGCCGTATCAAACAGGTACGAAGCGAAACAAAAATAGTAAACTTAAGAAATATTTCGGCAATAATTTCGTGAAGAAACTTTGCCGTGTAAAACGGCTCTTAGGGAGCAGAGCTCTCCGATAGAACGAATGTTTTGTCCTTGTCAACGTACCTAATCGAAAAGTGAACGAGAATGATAAATACGAAAAATTTGTTCTCTCGGGGAACTCTACTTCCTGAGACGAGAATCGGGTCCCTGTTCCCTTCCATAAATTTCCTAGACAACATCTAGGATCATAAAGCACCTAGATCAATTTTTTTCTGTTCCGTTTCATCTGTATCCTATCGGCGGTTCACTCTAGTACTCTCTCCGTTCCAGGGACGTATTTTCCGAACTCGCCCTAATAGCCGTTTGTAATAATACTCATATCTGTATTCCTTTTATACACCGAACGTGTCGCTCTAGAGCTCCTCGGAGTCACTCCAAAACACACAATTCAGATAATTAAAAAAAAAAAGTGCGTTTTTTTTTTAAAGATAAAAGTCAAACTGACATTTAGTTGGCAATACAATGTAAAATTGTCAATGGTTTCAAATTTTTCATGTAGAAAAGGCATGTGTTGCCAACATAGTTACTAAATTTTTGACTTGGGGAATTATCTTTAAAAAAAAAACAGATTTTATCATTATTCTTCAATATTAATATTGCCTAAAAGGGGCTTCTTGCATCCCCCGCAAATTTGGCGCATCAGGGGAAAGCAGTATGAGCAACTCGAGTGCTTAGCGCACTTTTTAAAGGAGCGTTCAAGCTTTTGATATTGGACAGCTCCGAGTAACTCAACGGGTAAAAGGAATACAGTAATAGGCGTAGTATTCAAGTCTATGTATAAGTTTCTAATTAATAAGCAACCCAACTGAAATAAAAGTACTGCCATCTATTGGAGAGAAGTATAACTAAATGGTGTCGCCCTCTATTCGAGAGATACATAAACCTGAGAGTCCCTGCTAGGATCACCAAAATTTTGACAAATAAATGATAAAGTCATTGCAATATGCCACCTGGACGAGCCAGATTAGAACTTGAAAAAGATAAATAATATAAATAGCATGGATTCATCACCCTATAGCATCACTAATGAATGAAAGGTTGAAAATAACCAGATCGTTTTGATAGAAGAAATTATGATCTAATATAACTAGCGGTCTGCATCAACCACAGAAACTTCAGAATAAGAAGAAAATTATCAAGTCATGCCAGATTTGACAAAAAGCACTGAAAACTGAGTAGACAAAGAACCTGAAAAGTATGCAAATACTACATAAATATAGGACTGAATAAACCAAGACTTCCCATGGTTTTGGACAAGCCTTTGAGTAAACCTTCACTGCTAAAACAAATACAAATGTATGAAAATTTAGAGGCCAGATTTCAAGAAACGGAGTTTAGACAGTTATTTCAGCGAGCAGAATAGATTATGCAAGGATATAAAACTATCATTCCAGATTCCAAACTTATAATGATTAGATGATACCCTTATTTAATTAGGAGATAATCTGAGGGATCCAGGAAAGAAGATATTGTTCTAGATAGGTACCGATAGTGGCTCAAAAATAAAAGAAAAAGATGGAAACTAAAGAACAACAACTGTCGAAAGTATCTGAACAAAATTTGAGAAAAATTATGAGAAAAAATTAGAGGAAAGTGATAAGGCACAAATGAATTTGACAATGGCCAAGAAGGCAATCAAACGTATTATCAAAATGCTTACAATGACGAAAGAAATATGTACGTTCCTGTCTGGTCAGTGTGCGGTTAAGGTAGCAGACGACTTTCTCTCCCTCATCTGAGGGCTGAGTCAACACGGCTCCAATTCTGTAACCATATGCGTCTGTTTGGACTACAAATTTCTTTGTGTAATCCGGGCAGCTCAAAATGGATGCGGTAACCAACCTGTTGAATAATCCGGAACAAATCTATACCATGAAAAACTACCCACTATCCTTCGAAGTTCTGTCACCGTTCTCGGTCTTGGCAATTCTAACATAGATTTGACTTTATCCGGATCAACTGTAGGCTGCGCCGATCGACGACATAACCCAAATACTTCATTTCGGGCCTGCTAAACTGGCATTTCTCGCAACTTATTGTAATGTTCGCATTTTCCAGTCGTTTAAATACTTCTTCCAGTATACGAAGATGTTCCTCCAAGGATTGAGTAATGATCACTACATCATCCAAGTATACAAAGACATGAGGCTCCAAATCCGGTCCCAAGATTTCATCTATGAGGCGCTGCCAAGTGGCCGGGGCGTTGTAAAGTCCAAAGGGCATTCTCCGAAACTGAAATAATCCTCAACGACAAATAAATGCTGTTAATGGTTTGCATTTCTCCTCAATTGGCACCTGCCAATATGCACTTTTGATGTCCAGGCTGGAGAGGTACTTTGTGTGTTTTTCTGCACCATATCCACTGGTGATGCCTATGGACTAGAGCTCGGTTCCATAACACCCATATTCAACATTTCATCTATCTCTTCATCCATACATTTTTGGATTACTGGTGAAACTCTATAAGCCCTCTTGCGAATTAGTGTGGACTTCGCAATAATTTTATGCTCAACTATCTTCGTGCATCACAGGGTCTGTCCCATAGACTCTTTATACTGATCGACCAATTCCATTAGGCGTTGACTTTCCAATGTCGTTAGCACCGTGAGTAATTCTCTGACACAATCCAGTTAGCAAGTATCTCGTGAAAAATGCAATTCATTGTGTCTTAGGTTTGAAACGATTCCTATTCTGATCCAAAAATCCAACCCAAGGATGGAAACTCCGGAATGACCACAACGTCAACTATCTTAGTCCTATCTCATACACAAATAGGCAACTCCACAACTAACTCGCTCATTGTCTGCTGACCATTGGCCATAGTGCAAATTGACTTCTTTGACTTGTCCAGTCGAACACCCGATGACTTGATGATTTCCCAACCCGGTCTTCCGAGGAAAGTACGTGATGCTCCGGAGTCCAAGAGACCTAAAAACATATGTCCCATTATATTGACTTCCAAGTAAGGACGTTCATCATTTTGTGCATGGTTAAGGATGAAGTCTAAGATTGGGGCAGCGATCGGTTTTTTTTTTCCACTGGGATCAACTTGGTGTTTTCCTTTGAAAAAATAAAGTTGGCTGTCATAACTTGTTTTTGGGTCACCCTGTAAATATGGTATATCATCAAAAAAACGGCCAATAAAATCAAAAATTGACGTGTCCGACGTTTTTTGAGAAATATCCACCCTGTATACTTTATAGATTTTATTCCAACCTTTACGTGCTCACTGTATATGATTATATTGTTGTGTGCAATTTTTGGTAAGTAAGAATTCTATCGATTAATTTTTGACATTTGTCGTTATCCTGAATCATCTCTGAATCTCTACCTTTAGGTCAGCTAATTAATTTGATGTGTAGCACATTTCTTTCACGTTCTGGTTGTTTCGAAGAAAGGGTCTCCTGAAGAATCTAATTTATTTTTTTCGCCTTAAAAAGGGATTTTGGACCTAATTTTCTTCTTAATTGAATTTATGGCACACTGAGTTTTCTTGCGTTGTGTTTAATTTTCGTAAAGTGCTATAATTTTCGCCGATGTTATCGGATTTGAAAACAACCATTTCGGTAAGTCTTGCTGTGCACGTTTTTTCCCACAAGTAGATTCTGACTTTTTCCATTTAATCATTAGTGATAAGCTGCCCTAAAGAGTAGAGTAACTCTCACTCACTCTAGGATATCCAATCCAGACTTCCAGAGTATTTTCGAGGCAAACAAAACCCTATTTCCAACAGGTAATAACCTCAAATTTTCTATGCAAACTCGGGACACATTTTCTTTAATTACTATTAAAGCTTTATCTGATTTCTTCTAATTCAATTAATTATTATCATAAATACATTATTGTTCAATTTTTCTATTAAAATAATTTTTCTACAAACGTGTTAAAAATGCAATTTTTAACACCGCCCCGAAGCATTAAAAATGTTACTTTATCGCACTAGTGCCATAAAGTCTTTATAGCACTAGTGTTAAAAGTGAAACATCAAATTTTGAGAGCGGACGTCAAAAAAAGTTTGTATTTTCAGTTATTTACATTGATAATAATGGTGAAATTTGAACAACTGAGGTAGACCGATTGGCCGCCTCATCTATATTTGTCGAAGGATCGATGCAACTCTCTTTTTCTTCTGTATTTTGTTGCATTTTTAGCAAAAAGCATTCCTGACCACGACATACTTTCAAGAAACTGACAAGACATTTCGTTACCTGTAAAACAAGGTGCTGGTTGTATGGATTTTTTGACAAATGTCAAATTCAAGAATTTTATGTAGGAAAGATGCTTCCAATTTATTATTCATTTAAAAATCCAATTTGTTAGTGGTTATTGCTTTTTATTGCCGTTTTTAGAAAAAATATTGTATGATATTTGTGTTAAAAGTATTTTTAAGGCACTTATGTGAATTGCAGAATTCGCTTCGCTCATTCTGCAAACTTTCACATGCGTGCCTTAAAAATGTACTTTTAACACTTATATCATAAATAACTATTTCAAGAGCTATAATTTTTTTTAATCAAGTAAATTTGCTATTTGAGACTTATTGAGTTACATTATAATTTCATTTTCTAGTTCTGTTTTTTCATAAGTGCTTCACTATAGCTATGGTTCAATTACAAATACAGTGTGTTATAACAATTTTTCTCTTAGGGTTTTTACTCACGGTTACATTGTCATACAACAATACACGTTCAATCGTAACCGAGATTGAATTATAAAGGCAATCAAACACCAGCCTAAGTAGTTGGACGGTTACACAAGCCTTCTGGACTGTAAATTTTGAACTGTAAGATTGGTTGGACCATCTTAACCACAAACAGTAGCCAGGACTAATCTGGTTAATTGTACCTACTGCTACCGCCTGGAACATTTTGGTATCGTACTAGCTTTAGTTATACTATCGTTATTTTATTCTTAATTTACCTTTTTATCCCTATTTTGTACGCCACAGTGATCACTAAGGTATTTCAGGGAGTCATTCAGTACTACCTTTTACAAGGAAAATTATGCTAACAGCCCCAACCTTAAATGGGATACAAATCAACTTCGCAAGTGAGGTGGGAATGGGAGTCATCTTGGATCAGAAACATACTGGACATTCCAGAGATTATTCAACAAGACTTGGGGTCTAAAACCCAAAATGATCTATTGGTTATTTACAATGTTTACAAGACCCATGGTCACTTAAACTGCACTAGTATTGTGGCCAAAAGTAAAACAACAGACAGCGCAAAATTGATTGGCAACTGTACAAAGGTATACATGTCTTGGAATTACAGGAGCAATTAACACCTGTCCAGCCACCGCAGTGGAGGTTATGTTGAGCCACCCCTCACTAGATATAATAATGAAGAAAGGGGCCTACATGGGAGCCTTAAGAATAATACAGTCCCTGAAACTGAAGGAAGTAGACTTTGTCGGCCACATAAGAATTATGAAAGAATGCATAAATGTGGCAACAAGGCCAGTTGACCAAATAGGTACAACACGGGTACGAATTTGAACACTCTTTCAAAGTGACTATCGAGAACCGCAAGGAGGAAAATAATCATACCTGTATGGGTACCCCGAGCGAGTCATCTCTCTGGTATACAGACCGATCGAAAACGGAGCAAGTGACTGGAGCAGAGGAGTATACGCACGGCCCACTTTGTAGACTATCAACAGCCCTACGAGAAACCCAACCATATTTCAATCTGAAATAGAAACCTGCGAAGAGCTATATCATTCCAACAGTAAGGCAGCTAAGAGCTCTGAGCATAGCTCTGTCACTAACTCTAGACTGGCATGGGACTGCCAACGACTCCCAAAGCAACTGGCGTCTTGCAATAGAGTCACCCTGTCATGGTAACCAGGGCACAAAGGAGTCAAAGGAATGAAATAGCAGACCAACTTGCATAACAGCTGTTTGAGCTGCAACACCATTCCTTGTACCAGGCATTGCGAAAAGCCATATAACAGGCCTCCTTACGGGTTACTGCCCTCTAGGTTACCACCTGGAAAAGATGGGCAACATAGAAATAGATCTATGCCGCTTATGTATAGAAGCCTCTGAGTCCTCGAAACACATACTTTGCAGCTGCAAGGCAAAAGACTTATCCATCTAGAGAGGCCTATATTTTTAACGGCTGCAGAGGTGAAACAAGCCAATCCCAGGAACATTATCGGCTTTGCCAAAATTTACTAGATATAAACCTAAATAATGAAACTTGTGACAGTATACAGTGCAGTTTTGCAGATGATATTCATAAACTTTAATCAAAGTTGGCACAGCTGTAAAATTAGTTTTGCATGAGTAAACTTCTCAAGTAATTCTACATAATTTCAGAAAATTGGATTGTCAACCAAGATATATTCATTCACATTTTGTGCAAACAACAAAAAAATATAAATAATGAATAAATCAAATTCCCAAGTGAGAGTCGTCAATTAAATTAAGTAGGTATATTTATACTTTGGATATACATACTTATTTAATTTAGATGTCCCATGTGACCATAGTCTAGGTAAGTACTATTACAGAAAAAATAATATTTGTTAGAGGTTCTATTATTTGAATGTGATCCTAATCTCTAATCTGCGATGGTGCAATAATCCATTATCAAATGTCAACTTTACAAATAAGTTATTACGAATATTTGCCTTGTTGAATCTTATCTTCACTTGAGAAGTCTTGTTTGCTGGAATATCAGAATAATATTTGCTTTTAGGAGTAGATTATTTTGTAAATATCACTAAACACTAATGACGAATTTCGATTCTGACAAAAATTATCATGCCAAAAATTCAATAATATTCCCTTCAACTTTTTTTTTTTAATTTCGTTTTGAAATTGTTACACACGCAGAGGATTAATTAATATAGATACAATGCAATAAACTTCATGCAAAACTGCAAATGTGTGTAAACAAAACAAAAACCTAAAAATAGCTCAACAATTTCGATTATCCGTGTTTATAAAAGCACCACCCCCGCACAGGAGTAAAAGTTCGGCACGATAGGCGCAACACTTTCACATTGTTTATTTCAAAAACAGATACTGCCACAATGGAAGAATATTCAAGTTTCGGATAAAATTTCGCGTTGAACGCCACGAATCGACTACTGTTGGACGAATTTCGCCTGAAAATCTATTATTGGCAGCCCCGAGAAAGCCGACAAGGTGCCAAAAATCGGGACCGACCCAGGAACATTGGCCAGGTTTTATTTTATTAAGGAGTCAGTCCTTCCCAACAATAAATAATATTAGTTCGATTAATGGCGTAAAATTAAATGTTTTCATTTATTCATAGATAGTCACGTTCTTTGACATTGTCTCAACAGTAATATCCAATAACACAATTTGTCATAGATCATTAGCAAAATGCAAATAGACGGAAAACAGATGCGTTATTTTGCACTTTTCACCATTTGGCAAGCGTAAAACAAGTGTGGCGACTAGGTAACTAATGTACTGGCTAATAATTAATTAGGGTTCGCTTTGAATCGTCTATAGCCATAAATTTTGTTTTTTATTGATGGTGAAATATTCATGCTTAGATACAGAGATATATATATTTACTTACCTAAATCGGATATATTAACTTTTTCTAGGAACGGATCAACCACTGGTAACTGTAACAAAGAAAATATACTAGATTAAATTGATATTTAACACTTAGATGAGATTTTTTTCAATCAAGGTTCCATTATTTTTATTCTCCTGTTGAAGTTTTAGCATTTACTTGATTAAATATAGTGCATTTTGATGTGTATTTCTTAGCCTTTACATAGGAACATAGTCACAATACCGGTCGTGTATACGGTGGTGCTTGGAAATAGAACAATTCTGGAGCTGCTTTCGTGATAACCATAATCCCACACTGATTCATCAGTCAGTCTCATGGATTCTGAGGGAGGCAAACATGTGATTAACCATCGAGAAATTCTCCAGAAGCAGAAGACTGTACATAAGTATCGATACTAATAGTAACACTTCAGGCAAAATGATCATCTAGGAAAAATAAATGAGATAAGCTACTAGACCAGGGAACAAAGCTGGAACCTTGCAAACTTGACACAAGCTCTGTTTGCTGCTTATTATCGGTCGAACTTTTGCCAGTAAAATTCTCCAGGAGGTTTCATCCGTATTAATCCAAGAACCTTGGATATATAAGGGGCAAATCAAAGATCTACCAAATGAAGGGGCAAAATTAATCTGGAATAGTCGGTGCATTTATGTCTTTCAGAATTTACGTCGCGGGACTTGGTCAATGTTCGGGTAAAACTTATCACCGACCAACCACACTACGACCAAGTACTGGCATCGGGTTACTTCACTAGAGATGGATGAGCACCACCAGAAGAAGTACAGAGACTAGTCGAGTCTGCAACAGGAGCAAACTACCGTTCCTGATTGGCTGTGACGCCAACGCCCACAACACCGTCTGTGGAAGTACCGATAAAAATCTAAGAGGTGAGCAACTGTTAGAATTTATCTTTCAAACGAACCTGAATATACTAAATATAGGGAATACGCGTCTATGGAATACACCAACATTTGTTACTAGGGTCAGACAGGAAGTGTTAGACATCACTTTGTAGTCCAAATATCGACCAAATGATCAGGAATTTGAGACTCTCCAATGAAATCTCTCTCTCTGATCACCGAATCATAATGTTTGACGTAAAAAGAGTCCAGGAACGAACTACCTCGTATAGAAACACCAGAAATACGAACTGGGAAAAATACACAACCAAAGTGCAATGCAACCTCGAACGAAATCATTTTAGCTGCAAGAATATACGTAAAGTAGAAGAAACCCTTCAGATCCTTGTGTAATCATGAAACGGTCAATGTCAGATTTTTTTTTTAAACTTTAAAAAAACAACAGAAGAAAGTTATAGATAGTCTAAACTCATGTCCAAGAATTTAGGCCAAGTTAAACGTTGTTCAAGGCCCCATTACGTTGGTCGCCAATTTATGTAACGCTCTTTTGTCGAAACAAAAGAATGCTCATAATTGTACTCGACTATGCTTAGTGGTTCTTTCTTAATCTGTCAAGCTTATCAAAATCATAAAAATGACAGCGCTACAGGTGATTTGAAACAACAGAATTCTCGATATTAGCATTCATTTTAGGTTAGTAAAACTAGTCAGAAGAATCATAGATGTCGCTAGGTGTACGAAATAGTACTTTACAGTCCAAAATATACAAAAATAATTAAGAACGATAAATATATTTTTGACATTTCAAATGTTACACTGCCCCCTTTCGAAAAAAGAAAAAAAAATATAGGTATTTTTTTTTTTACAAGGAATACAAATACCGACAACGAAAACAAGGAAGAGAAAGAAATTATAAAAGGGAAAGATAAATTGTAGAATTATATGGTGAATTTTTATCAAGAATTTCTTTAGCCTGATAACTAACGTGTATCATCCGTCTTTATGGAAGAAGTCATAATTGGTAGGTCATTTCAGAAAAAAAGTCACAATTGGGAAAAAGCTCGAATTGGTACAAGTAAGGTAGGGGTCTACTAGAGAACTTGACATGAATCCAACCAAAAATTACGCACAAAAGAAATAATAATATAAAAAAAGGAAGGAAACCATGAAGGATAGAATGTCCATTTTGCTTTGCTGTTCCTGTGAACTAAAACTGAAGGAAAAGTTAGACGGGACGGCACAGAAGAGAGAAACTGTATGGGAAGGACCCACACAGTGAAAAGATTCAAATGCCAATTCATACCTTAAGTATTTCGTTATGGGCGGAGTTCCCGAGAGGAAGTAAGAGACACCTTTCATCCCTTGAATACAACGGGGATCAGCCGCTATATACAAGTTATCCGTAAAAAGGCTCAATCAAGAAGGGATAGAAAAGAAGTCAGTGTGCGGACGAACACACCTAGGCATGAAATTATCCCAATTAGCCGCTATTCTCAAAGAACCACCCGACTGTAACTCCTGCTACCAAGCCTGTGTCAATATGGTGGTACACAGCAGCCTGTCCAATTGATTTCCCCCAACGGACAAGGAAAATCACTTAAACAGAAGTTGAGGCAGCTCATATAAGAGAACATTCAGGATAACCCCATACCGGAGCGGGCGCGCGGTAAATCAATAATTCATGTTTGTTTTCGTATTTCTCTTAGTTAAGGAAATTACCTTACTAAAGAAATAAGCACTCACTCCTTTTACTCTCTCAATCATCCTTCACAAAACAGGCAGCAATAGCAAAAAGGCAGTCCACTCAACATGATCAGGTAGGAAAATAGAAAAATAAAAGGAAAGAAAAGTAGATGAAAAAATTACAGTGAGCCAGAAGTCTGACACTTCACTGCAACAAGACGAAACGGCAATTATTATTTGCAAGAAGCAAACCAAATCGGTGAGAAATTACGTACCTTTGTAACACAACAAGATACGATACAAAATAGTATATTAAAGTATAAGTGGATATTAATTGTAGAATGCTACATTCGTGCTTGACACTTGTTACATTTTATTTGACGTTATCTACAAGTACCTAACCTACTCCTGACAAATCAATAATTAAAAAGTTGACATATTAACCTTTCTCGGGTTGTTGGTTGTTGATGTTGTCATTGGTAACTTTAAAACACGCGCGTTTTTGAATGTTGGATTTAAACACGCTGAGGAGTACTTTAAATAGGTGAAATAGGTTATCAATAAAAAAAAGTAAGTATAATTATCATCCGGTAAAATCAGCGGAACGGTAAAAACTATTTTTTACAGATAAAAATTAATTCAGAGACAAATCCGAATTAGAGCCAAGGTAAGATAAAAAAAAACAGAAAATAATAAAGGTAAGTGCAAGGAAAGATACTAAAGCTAAGGGATGAAACAATGACAGTGACATGGTATAAGACAAAACATCCACATCAACCAAGATACAAAGATAACTTTTTGACAATATACGCATCATGAATAAGATAATCGATAAGGCAACGGTAAGATATATGTCATGGCAATCCTAGACATGACACACGAAAAATGTCCAAATCGACAACGGTAAGGTAAATCATGATGTATGTTTACTATCAAAACAGAAGTTAACTTGGTTAGACAAAGAAGAAATTTTAAAATGTCCTAATCAATATGAAGATAACTTTTGACATATACATCAAAGATAAATCGATAAGACAACGGCAAAGCGAAAAAAAATATACATGTCATGACACTGAGGTATTACAAAATGATTTTGAAGTTATATTAGAAAGAAAACTTTACTATGAAATAGGGACGAGACTGGGGTATTTTTATGGGACTATAGGTATAGGGACAAGATTCTCCTCGGAGAGGGAAATGAGAAAAATCAAAAGCTCGCGAAGGCAGGAGCCCTGTGTTCCTGAACAGTCTCTTCTTCGCCGGAATCGCTAGAAAGTACTGTCCGTTACCTATTTATACGAGAACGGTATTTAGAAGGACTGAACGATACGAGAGAAGATACGAGATCGAGATGGTTAAAAAAATTAAAGGTATATGAATTGTCCAGTAAATAAACATTCAGGAAAACTGGCCGATACGAGAAAGGGTACCTGAAGTCTGCCATTTCAAAAAAAAAAAAACTTGAGGTAAGTAATTGAAGAAATATGAAATTAAACTTTCAGGGAAAAATATGTAATATTGTTAATTATCAAAGAAAATATTCAGAGAAAGAGAGAAAAAAAAATTAAGCAAAAACAAAAAAACTTGTGTAATCATGAAACGGTCAATGTCACATTTTTTTTTTAAACTTTAAAAAAACAAAAGAAGAAAGTTATAGATAGTTTACTCTAAACTGTCCAAGAATTGAGGCTAAGTTAAACGTTGTTCAAGGCCCCAGTACGTTGGTCGCCAATTTATGTAACGTTCTTTTGTCGAAACAAAAGAATGCTCATAATTGTGCTCGACTATGCTCAGTGGTTCTTTCTTAATCTGTCAAGCTTATCAAAATCATAAAAATGACAGCGCTACAGGTGACTTGGAACAACAGAATTCTCGATATTAGCATTCATTTTAGGTTAGGAAAACTAGTCAGAAGAATTATAGATGTCGCTAGGTGTACGAAATAGTACTTTACATGAGTCTAAAATATACAAAAATAAATAAGAACAATAAATATATTTTTGTGACATTTCAAATGTTACAATCCTTAACGGATCGATCATAGAGGCATACGAATCCAGCTGTTCCGTGAAAGAACAAGTAAACAAAAATGGTTGCCCATGGTGGAACAGTCACCTGTCATGACTTAGATCCGAGGTTCGTTGGCTTTTTAACAAAGTCAAATGAGACGGAGAATAGCAGGGCTACACCGAAGGGCTGACTGAGTACAACAAAGAAATTAGGAAGGTCAAGCGAAAAAACTTCAGAGACTTTTGTGAATCTATCACAGAAACACCATCAACAGTCAGATTATACAAAACCCTGGCAACACGACTATTGACAATTAAGAAACTAGACGGTAGTTAAGCAAAAAAAGAAAAGCAACGAGCTGCTCTACTACTGGAAACTCATTTTCCAAAAAGCACACCCAATGATACTGAAGAAAGCAAAGGGCGGCTCAAGAAAACCAGGCAAGAAAACTGGGTTACCAAGTACCTTTACACTCTTCAGCGACTTACTTAGGCGATCGACTTGTTCCAACCGTTCAAGTCGCCTGGAGATGACGGCATCTTCCCAGCCCTGCTGTAAAAAGGGCATAATGAAATCATGCCCTATCCAATCAAACTCATCAGATACAGCTTAGCGACCGGATACATACCCAGTTAATGGAGAAGAGCTAAAGTAACTTTCATCCCAAAGGTTGGGAAAAAGGACTTAGGACTGGGAGGGCTGCTTCGAGCAGGAAACCCCAAAGCAGCAGAAGGACGGGTATAATGGATCAAACTTGGTCGCGGTGCAACTGACACCTCCAACACACACATATACATACATACACACGGGTGAAGGTTCTGAGATCTCAGCAGTTATATGGAGCTATATGTGTCGAATGCAAAGCCCTGGCGAAGATCAGATAATTACTGAGATATTGAAAATAGGGAAAGAACGGCTGGGAAAAAGTTTAGGAAGTCTCTTAAACAAGAAAGAGGGAAAAATACTAGAAATATGTGAAAGTGCAAATTATATTACTGTACAAACCAAAGGGAGGTACCCGGCAAAAACCTCAAAAGAACAGTCTAAGACTTATGTATTCCACCTCAGCGCGACATAGCTTCTCTTTCAAATCATAATTCTTACAAAATAAAGATTGGCATAGTTTAACTTTTGGTGGACGTTCAAACCCTAACCCAGTTAAACAATCATTGGGCAATAAACTTCCAAATTCTCTTTACATTACATAAAACTATAAGCTAAACCTTCAAGGGACGAATAAAAACAATCACATTTCAATATGCACAAATCCTAACCGTAAATCGTTTAATCGCTTTTGGACTCGGCAAAGTCTTTTTAACGTTTTGCGACAACTTGGTGTACCAATTCCAAATCCCACTCGACACCGGCGGCGAATTCAAACCCTTCGAATTTCTCCTCGCAGGCTCAGAACCATTCGAAAGCTTTCTAATTGGCTCGGACAATTTCCTGACTACCGAAATTTGTCTAGACGGCTCTGGGTACCTGCTTATAGTTTCCGATACTCTTCTGTTCGGTTCAGATATTTTTCTAACAGGTATTTTTTGAGCGTAAATTTCCATAGGCGTTTTGCCTTCTGATTCGCTGAACGAATGGAGACGACAGAAAAGTGTTTTTCTTCGACGTTGGATTCCTGGTGACGCATCCATTTTCTTTCCTCTTTAAAATGACGTTTTAGTTGACAAGAATTGGAAAATTGATTAATCACACTGAATTTTTAAATTAAAATTAAAGCTGACTCAATACCAGGCACAAATGCAATCTGAATATAATCCTCCATTTCGTACTCGTGGCTTGAATTAAACATGTTTTATAAATAATTTACATTTCAGATGTGCGATGATGCTATTGGGTATTAACTTCTATGAATATGACAAAGTATTTATATTTTTACTGAATACAACAATTTGCATTAATTAAATAAAATAAATCCAATCCTGATAATGTGAGAATTATTCAGGTGTGGGTCGTCAAAAAGATTTTAAAGTTGCTTAAAAAGAGTCCGGATTTCAAGGAAAATGTCCTTTTAGAGGAATCAAATCGGGAATAACTTTATTTGAAACTTTACCCGAGAGCAGCTGAGAGGGCCCTGGTGCCCGCCTTGAATAAAATAATGGATTCTTTATTACATATCGCCAGAGCAGACATAATAAAAGTTTGTCAGCGGAACGATTCCACCCTTTTAAGCTTAAATAGCGGGCGAAATCCATAAAATTTGAACAAGGCTTTTCAACAAGAAACTGGAGTTACCGGAAAAAAAAACCTAACAAATTCTTCACCATTTTGGAAATATTTGAATCCATTAATAGCAAACTAATTGGTAAGCTTGTGAAGAACAGATCGACTATAACTAATTTATTGATAATATTCACAGGGCCTATAGTTGAGTCAGCTTGATAATGTGTATGCTGACTTTGACAAGGCTGATAGGGATAGAGCTCTGCTTTGGATTTGATTAGATAGGTATGAGTTTCTTCAAAAAAAAAATCAAGTTAGAAAGTTAGTTTTTAACCCTCATTGCGTTTTAATATATTTAAAAATGATATTTTAAACTTGGTTAAATATTCTCGCCTATAAATTGAAAATGTATATAACTGATATATAGTCTGGCAAGTGGTAACTTGGTAGAGACGAAAGGGGGAAGAAAAGTGGGGAGTGACCTAAAAATATTCACTGACACCTCAACTGACATCGCCTGATGACAGACATGTCTTTCGGTTCAGTGGCACCGAAAACACCAAGGAAATAAACCAATAAAATTATTAGAAAAAAAATTCTTTAGTTTCGCCAATAACCATGCCACTGCGTGCTGTCGTTCAGACTCTAACCAATAGAATCATACCTCTGAATAATCACGCCTCTCCACATCCCTCAAATAGCAGAAAAAAATATGTCACCAACTTGTTTATCATTATTTCCGTCAAGTTTGGCAAAGTAGCAAATTCTATTGGAGTTCGCCGTTTCGCTAGCCAGACAATAGGTACTTAGAATAACTGGAAAATTTCGAAATATATGAACCACTTAAATTCCTTGATGCTAGAGTAAACGGTATGAAATTTAATATCGATAAATCTAAAATAATTTCCTTTTGTCGGAAGTTACAAGCTATTGAATTCCAGTATGATATTGACAATGTGCATTTAGAGACAGGGGAAGCGATAGAGAACTTTAATATTTTTGTCCATTTAAGGTAAATTATATAACTGGTAGAGCTTTGGAAAATGTTAAGCATTCAGAAGGTTATTCTTAGGGCTATGTCATTAGATTTGTTTACATTTGCTCTAGTATATTTTTGTAAATTTTTTGTGAAAAAGGTGACTATAAATTTTGAAATTGTTGGTAAAAGTGAGTATAAGTGTTGTGGTACCTGTTGCAGCAATTGTTCGAATTTCCCAGAGAAATTAAGCTGGCCCTTGGAATTTAAAATCCAACCGGATTTCCTTGGACTTTGACCTTTATTTTGTGCTTTGCTTTGTTTTCACCAACTGCCACCGAACCACCACCTGTTCTTGGGCGTTGCCAAACCACTGACTAAGTTTCCGCTCATTCCCCTGGGTTGCGTGACGTCATACTAAATACATCTACATAATCTACCGCAATGCCAACAAGTCTGTTCAAAATGTAATACTCCTTGCTTTCTTAAGGATGTAACAAAGAGTAAAGAAATCAAGGACCTGTTTGGAGGCTCCTGTGATATGTGTAGATCAATTATCTGTAGGCAGTGCTCTGGAGTATCATCGAGCGAGATTAGAGTGCTAACTGCTCAAACAAGAGTTGTAACATACTATTGCCCTGAGTGTGTTGAGATTATACGTACATCAGTCAAAAACCTTCCAACTCTGAAGGAACAGATTAGCAGCATTGAAAAGAAATTGAGCGTCCTTGAACTGCCTCACAAAGATACTGTGGACAGGGTTCCAGTGATAAATGAGGCAACCAGAAAACCTGCAGATGACGAGTTGTCTAATGATTTCTTTGTTGCATTAACAACTAACAGAAAGAATATACTCAATTCCCAAACTGAACTCATTGGCTCACAGTTAAATAATGTAGTTAACAACATTAAAGACGCCAATAAGGAGTTGATTAGATTTCTTACTCAGAATAATGAAAGTGCCACTCCTGAGCAGCACAAAATTGGATCCACCCAAGTGAGTGAAGCAATCAACTAATAATAGCAATAATGGCAGTAAAACTCGGGAAGCTTCCAAGTTGTTGGGTGCTGAACAGCGCATAAAGGGCTCAAATAAGAGTAGCTTGGGACTAGCAGCAGCAGCTAAGCAATCATGGTTCTATGTGGGGAATCTAAGTGGTAACACCACGGCAGATCAACTTAAAGCTCATTTGGAATCCAATAATATACCAGCTCAGGTAATGGAGAAACTACATTCTAGGAACGAACACATAGCTTCCTTTAAACTCTCTGTAGAGCCAACATATTATGATTCATCAATATTGAGACCAGATTTGTGGCCTGAAGACACAACAGTACAACCCTTTGTTTTCCTCAAATCAGGAACCTCTAGATCATTCCACAACAGAAATTTTTTCCCAAGAAACAGAAAGTTCCAGAACATTCCTCAAAACCGTGTCCAGAATCGACTATAGGTGTCTATTACCAGAATGTACGGGGGTTTAAGAACCAAATTAAACTTATTGATGTGTTCCACAGCAATTGAGAACTATGACATTCTCCTTTTCACAGAAACGTTTTTGGACGAGTCTTTTGGTGATGGTGAGTTTGGTCTAGAAAACTATACAATTTTTAGGTGTGATCGATCCAAATCTACCAGTTCACATAATAGAGGCGGGAGTATACTAATAGCGGTGAAATAGAAATTCCCAGTAATGCAAATAAGGTCACATGTCACCAACGTGGAACATGTATTTGTTTCTATAAGTCTAGGATATAAAAAGCTACTTGTTGGCAATGCATACATTCCACCTTCCTCTTCAATGGAAGTGTATGAAGCGTATACAGAAGCGGTGTCGGTGATCCTACAAGAATCGATGTCAGTCAATATTTGTGATATTCTAGTGTGTGGTGACTTTAACCTTCCTGATACATTTTGGTCAAATGATGAATATGGTGCCAGTCCTCTTGGATTCCTCACGGGGGAACAGCCTGTTTGTCTCATTGTATGGCATTTTTCAATTTAAATCAAATTAATACAATTCCTAATGCTAGAAATAGTTATTTAAATTTAATTTTTTGTAATGTTACACATGTGTATGCTGTGCAAAATCCTATTTTGAAATGTGATTCTCATCATCCAGCTTTGTATTTTGAATTGGTAACTGACAACTTGTCTCAGAAACTCGAGTATGACTATGAATACTACAATTTCAACCTTGCTAACTTCACAGATATTAATATGTATCTAGCTTCTAGTAAATCTGATCCAAGAGGACGATTTTAACGAATTTTATTGAAGTGGCAATATCTCGAAAACTATCGATTTTTTACTAAGGTCATATTATGTTTTTCTGGAGGCTTTTGATTATTATCGTTGACTTTTTGGACACCCTGTAAATATATTATAATTGAAAAGAGTGCAAAGTAAGTTTTTCGGTTTTGTGATATTATAAGTTGGGTGCGACAAAGTGTTGGCTGGGAACATGTAGATTGATATTTTAATGGCTTTGTTCGTCCAAACAACAATTATTTATTCATTTATCGGGACAACAGAATTCATCATTACGGAACGTGTTTAATCTGAAATTTAGCAACATTTTCACACAAACATGCCAACTCGAAAATGTCCATTTTGCGTGCTTCAGACTGGGTAAACATTGTTTTTATTTTCTAATGTTTGAACAAAAACGCCATCTTTGTTTAATGTGATTCAACGTTAATTTAATTTATTTACGACTAATGTATAATGTGCGTATTATATTTGTGATTTTGGCAGTATAATGACATATGCTATTCCTCCAGGGATTAATGACGAGTAGCGGGATTAATGGTCATTATTCCACAAAAGTGTCAGTGTCAAACGTGTAGTGCGTGTGGATTTGTATTGAAAATTATGAGACGGATGAAATTTGTTCATTGAAAATCTCAAATAAATTAATTTGTCGTAAATAAAGTAGAGTATACTACTCGCAATAATGGCTATGATTCCCTCGGAATGTTACTCCCTCGCCGCTAACGCGGCTCAGTTCGTAATAATCCTCGGGAATAATAGCTATCATTATTGACTCGTGGTATAATCTACTATTATATGATGAAAAAATAGGACGTTTTATTCGAGTTTACATAAAATTTTCTTGGATTATAAATATTTTGGATACATGACAGTTGAAGGAATTTTAATTTCACAGAAAAGAGGCGAATGAATACGTTAACAAGAGCAGTTGCAAAACAATTCTTAGAACCAGTGAAACTAGAGGCCGAACGCTGAAAGATCGTGAAGTATAATCAAAAACAGAAACGCGCAAAATAGAAAAATAAATCATTTTAGTTTCATTAAATATCATATTGATGGAATTAGTCGAAAACGATTTATTAATCAGATAAAATCTTATAAAGGGACCGTCATTTCAATTATTGTTACAAGGATAGGTGAAACAAATAGACAAAATAAGGGACTTAAAACTTCTTCAATGGGAGTTATTTCTAACCTTAGTATTTCGAATTTTCCTAACGAACATTACACCACCACTAGGTTTCTTACGTGTCTTCACCATGATTAAATAAATAATACTAACTTTACTCAACGGTTCATTTAAACAAACGTATCATAATAATTATTAATACAAACTGTCGAATAAAAATATTTTCTGTTAAAAGCATGACGAATAGCGGGTTTTTGTGATGTAATGTGACGACATATTTCAGTTTATATTATAAATCCATGATAAGTATAATGTTGGCACGTCTACCAAATTTTTTAATTGATACAATAAATATCCTTATTCCAGATTGATATGAGTCTAAGCTTAGATTAAGAGTTACTTTCTGTCCAGCGAAATCGAAACGAATGAAACCGAACTTCTATGGAAGCAGCGAAGAGGAAGTTACAAATTAGACGCTAAGGTGTCAGAATCAGTAAGTGGTGAATCGAACGAAAATAAGTTAATAATCGGCTAATTAGTGAATCGCAGGTCCATAGTAAGACATTGAGTGATTAATTAATTTTGTGACTGGCTAGTCACAAATAGTCTAGATTCGTTCTTTGTGTTATTGTACTGAATGAAGTTAAATTAATTTAACAGTAGTCTCACTTATCTACAAACTCGGTTACGTAACAATTGGTGTCAGAAGTGGGTGGTGAGAATGAGACAACAGACCGTCGAAAAGGAAGATCAAGTGAAGCTGCTTAATTTTTATTGAAACTTGCAAATAAGGAAAGAGTAAAAGAAAAACGGGAAGAGGAAGACAGACGACACAAAGAAAAAGAAGAAGAACATCAGGTATGGCTCCAAAAAGTTTTCCAAGACCTAGAAAACAAACGACAGAAAGACAAACAGCAAAAATGGAAACAAAGAACGCAAGATATTAACCGGATCGCCAGAAATATAAACACTCCGAGAAGTTAAAGGCGAAGTAGACACGGTAAGCGAAGAATTCGAGAGGAAATACAGAAAACAGGAGAAGATGGAGGAAATTCGCGATAAGCCCTACAACGAGCAAAAAGGACATGTCGGTGACCTCTCTTATACGAGGCCAACGCAAACCACCAACATTTGATGGCGAAAGATCCGCTGCAAATGGTTGTGATGAACAGCAAAGAGCAACAGTATTGGTACATAGGCAGTACAGAAGAAGGTACTCAAAACTTTCCATGTGCAAAAATCCAGTATAGAATTTCTACGATTTCTTCTGCTGCTAAATCACAACTGAAGTCGCTGACTTTTATAACATCCTCATCAATGAACAAGCGAAAGTTTGAAGCTTGGGATGAGATGAACCAGGACCAACACCACTGGTCTTATTGACTCTATGTGGAAAGTTACCACAAGCAAATAAACCCTATGAAGCCAAGTACCTAAAAACTGAAATTTGGCAACCGCTACCTCAACCAGACATATTAACGCCAACTGGAGAGTAGGAAACATTCACTGGATACCCTGGAACAAAATCACTGAAAATTCCGTTCGATAGCCATGGATTATATTTTGAAGAAAACTAATTTGAAACAGAACTCTTAAAACTCCTGGGTATCAGGAACCAACTCCACGCTCGAGCTGATGTAGTCGTCAAAAGATATTAATCAATATCAGTAATATTGTCCACTGAAGCATTTAAAATAGTGTGCAAAGGTTGCTATGACCCTACACAAAAAATACAGTTATAGTGTTAGATAATTTATATTTTTAGATCGTAAATATTTGTGGAATCAATGATCGAGTGAATTTGATAAGTCCCAAAAGTGTGTCCTTTATCACTAGATTTTTAAGTTTACCCAAAATGTAAATTTTCCATTACAAACAACAACAGCTGGCTCAAAAGTTAGAACATATGTTGAAAACACATCATAAAAATAAGTTGCATCAAAATGTGCTAATCGGTATTGGAATGCAAAATATTTTCATCATTTTTGTGTTTCTTTCAAAAGCCAAAATAAACAGAACCTGATCCAAAAATAAACAATTCCACTCTCCAGGAGTGATTTTAACAAATTTATGTAAAACCTGAACCGAAGTTATTTTGAATCAACGACAAACATGTTTTTAAACACACTTGATGGAATTGTTTTAATTAAAAATGGTAAAGGCTTATGTGCCAATTAACAGAGAATGGCTGGGCTATTTGGCTTTCTAAAAGCTCCAATAACATACCGGCGGTATTGCATATTAATTAATCTTTCCTTAGGCGTTCGTGTTTAGTATCACGTAGACGTATAGGATGAAGATCGATAATACGTGGACGAATTTTATTTTGTTTGGTTTCTTTTTCACGTATTTCGAAATCTGTATCGATATAGGTAGGTAGTTGTTTGATTTATAAGAACTACATCTTATTTAACGTAATAATGTTGTGCATGCGGATTTTGGTTCACTGATAAGTGAGACTACTCTTCTCTCAATATGTCTAGACAATAATTTCGGATGAATGTCGATCACTAGATTATTTCATTCAGATTCCATTGTCGAGAACTTCAGTCAGTAAGTAGAGTATACATAACAATGCGTAGTGTTGCCAGGTTTACTGATGTATCCGTAGATCTACTGATTTGGCCACTGGTCTACTGATATACTGATATCAATGTAAATTCTACTGATAGAAGCCGTTGTCATTATTTACCTGCTTTTTATGATATACGTCACAGAATGTCACAGCAATCATTTCTTTAAAAACATTTTCAGGGTACTTTTTTGAGCACAATCCAGTGGCGTACTCATTTTTTTTTCTATGAGTCATCATT